TGGAGCGGCGAAGAAGAGGAAACTCAGCACCGAGCAAGTTAACCTCCTTGAGACGAGCTTCGGCAATGAACATAAGTTAGAGTCCGAGAGAAAAGATCGACTGGCTTCCGAGCTCGGCCTTGACCCTCGCCAAGTTGCGGTTTGGTTTCAGAACAGAAGAGCTCGGTGGAAGAACAAGAAGCTCGAAGAGGAGTACACTAAGCTCAAAAATGTTCATGAAAGTACAGTCGTCGAAAAGTGCCGCCTAGAATCTGAGGTATGTCTATATATACATATATATACTCTCCTTCTTCTGTTTCTTATTCATATGAGCAAAAAGGTGGTGAGACAGTGGGACGACAGGATGAAGCTGTTATAATTAAAGTTTCCCAGTTCTTGATCAACTTTAATCAGTTCCGTTCTGCAAGAAAAATATGGAAATGGAAGAGGAGTCGTCATTCTTGTCATACAATTTCACCTATCAACTTTTAGTAAACTCAGTTTCTCAAGATCCAAAAAAAGCAAAGTATAATATATAATGCAAAAAAGTTTTTTTTTTTTTTTTCTCTCTCTCTCTCTATCTATCTATATATATATATATATATATATTGAGAGATCCATTGTGAAGTATTTGTTATCTGTGAAACATCCAGATGTCTCACTCTCACCACCTTTGGTCATTTTAAAAGAATCATATGCATACATGCTTTTGCTTTCTTTCTTAATAACTAATTTAATATATGTGGCGCAAACTATAAGTAATTAAATTAGGTTTTTTTATATAATTAAATACTCCGTAGTTTATGACTGATTTTGATGACTAGGGGTTGTTTTTATTGATTAATAAAATAAAATAAAAAATAATCAGTAAATAATAAAAATAATACTCCTTATCCTTTAAGAAAAATATAAATAAATAATATTTGAACGTGCATGAGCTCTGGGCTCGAAGAAAGCCAGCGCCATGTTGTTGGGTTAGGCGTGGGTTTATATTAAATAATAATAATAAATAAATTAAGTGGATAAATACGACATACTGCCACCTCATTACACAACAAAACTGGTCCGTACAATTTAAGGTTGGCTGGTCTTGGGCCTCGGAAGGCCCACCTGGCTCTGCCAACTCATATCACGTGTTTGTTTTCTCACGTGCGAGACCTCACCTCCGGCCTTTACATTTTTTAAAAAATAAAAAATAAAAAATAAAAATTTACGTTTATGTTAATGTTATTTGCAGGTACTGAAGTTGAAAGAGCAGTTGTCGGAGGCCGAGAAGGAAATCCAACGGCTGGTAGAGCGAGTGGAGGGAGTGTCCATCAGTAACAGTCCAAGTTCATCTTTATCGATCAATGCGATGGACGCACAAGTGCCGTTTCTGGGAGACTTTGGAGTTGAAGGATACGACGACGTATTTTACATGCCTGGCATGGAGGGATGGATTAATCTGTACATGTAAAAAAATATGCCCCCACTAGTAGTTTGTAAATATAATTATATAAATGCCCTCTAACCTAATTAATCGTTTTTCTCTCCATCTATATGTATATGAGTTAGTATTTTAACCTGAAAATTGAAAATGTGTATTAATTAT